AGATAGATAGATAGATAGATAGATAGATAGATAGATAATTAGATAGATAGATATATAGATAGATAGATAGATAGATAGATAGATAGATAGATCGATCGATCGATCGATCGATAGATAGAGAGATAGATAGATAGATAGATAGATAGATAGATAGATAGATAGATAGATAGATAGAGAGATAGATAGATAGATAGATAGATAGATAGATAAATAGAGAGATAGATTGATAAATAAATAGAGATAGATTGATCTAGATATATAGATAGATAGATATATTAAAAGAGTTTTTTTAAGCAATTTCCCAGAATTTTGCATATGGTCAAATACACATTTTTTCTCCAAAAAACATTTATACATATATGTGCTTTTATTTTATAATCATTAAAATTCATTTTTAAAATTGGGATGTTTAAAAAATGTAATCTAATCCCCATATTCCCACCACACACCTTCCCACCACACACCTTCCCACCACACACCTTCCCATCACACACCTTCCCACCACACACCTTCCCACCACACACCTTCCCACCACACACCTTTCCCCTCAAACAATTCTCTTTTTAACCAGCTTGGGAACCCAGCTTTGTCTGGAAATTATACTTTCGCAGTAAATGTCAACTTACTCAACTTACACTGTTAGATCAATTTTGAACCAAGCCAAGAACATTAGCGTGGGTTTAACGTGTGACCCTGTCTAAGTTTGAGGCAAATTGGCCAAGAAATTCCTGAGTTATGATCGGAAATTCATACAGACAAACCGAGATTAATACTTTATTTATTGTAGCTGGTTTTGAGGTTTAAAAGTGAAAATAAAATCTTTTATAAGCCCCCCCCCCCCGGCTCCCCCCATTAAACGCCCCTAATTATGTATGTATCCTGTCAGGGGCGTATTCAGGAATTTGTCTCCGGGGGGCGGGGCTTAAATTTTTTTTTCTTTAAAAAACCGGAAACCATGTTTTTCACTAATACAGGGGCACGTGGATTTAACGGTTCTGTTAATATTCTAGAAAGCTGAGACTTTAGATCACAATTTGACCCATTAAACATATTTTGTTAGCCTTTTTTCTTAAACACTTTCTTGTTGGCATATGCAATGCAATGAAAATGTATAAAATAAACAAATCCGTAAAGTAAAAGATTGTTGAATTATAAACCAAAACACGTTTGATTTCAAATAGAAGAAACCGAATGCTGCTCACTCTTGTTAGTCCGGTGGTGGGGGGGGGGGGGTTAGCTCCCATAGCCCCACCCCTATATACGTCTTATGTTTTGTCTTAGCATGTGTTTTAGAACTAATATATGAGTGGTGATGAAAAGTAAGTCCTAGAATTAAGGTTTTTAAAACATTAAGATAATATTAGTACAGATGTAGAACACTCATTCTTATAGCTAACTTTGATATCAAATATTAGATAAAGAAAATATTTTTTCAACCATTTTAAATTTGCTCATTCATTACAAATCATTTATACCTGTGATTTTAACGAAGGAATTTAGTTTGCCACAAACTCAGATTTTCTAATCACAATATCTTTGCAACCCAATGTCATAGACCTTAGATATTTCAAACTATAATGAATTCTGTTATATCATGCATGATCTAAGTTTGAAATATCAAAGATGTACACCCCATCAGGTTGCAAAGATATAAGGATAATAACATTTGAGTTTGTGGAAAAAAAATCAAGTCATTCAGTTTAATGCTAGAATCAAATTGTTTCTTTTTCATTATTATATTAATATTTTTGTTCTTACTGAATTTTTTTCGCAGATTTCTTCAGATTCTTCAAATGTCGTCTTTTCATTAAAAATCAGGAAATCTTCAGAAAATGGTTTTGAACATTGAGACATTACAGAAACCAATAACTGAATAAGATTACTTATTTTCGATGATAAGAGTTAATTTTTATTTTCTCAACCTCTTCTTAAACAACTAATAATTTCACTGTGAAATTTTTGCAAAATTTTTCGTGGTCGTCATTGAAGAAATTAAATAAAACCGATTCTCAAAATCTCCCTCAAAATCTATGAAGATTTTAAACATTTGCATTTGAGCATTTGAGCATTTGCGCTCTTGCTGAACAAATATGCACCTTAAAAACCTCTGATGGGTCTCAAATGATTCCTAAAGAATTTCTCAATAATACAGCAATCTCAGTTCAACTACCATACCTTGCTGGTCACTCCCTTTAAAGTCCAATTAAAAATAAAATGAAAAGTGTTGAATACCCGTTATGCAAAATTATGAATAAACAAATTTATCCTTTTCCTTTGCCTGAACCCTGGACCACAATTCTGAATAAAGGTTTCAGTTATGGTATTTAGTGAAGGGAAGTAACTCTTTTTCTGAGGCTTTCTTAGTGTTTGGACTTTTATCATCATAAAATATTATTCCATAAATAAAGATGCACACATTTAAAACTATATTATTTAAAAGTGTACTTTTAAAATGTAAAGATGATATTCACTTCTGTATGCCGAGTCCATTAGCGCCTCATCCAATCAGGGTTCAGTCATGAGTTTGTTGTCTATTCTGAACCAATAGAAATTGCTTAGCGGTAACATTAATCTTTCTATCTATCTCATTATCCAATTAGAGTTGTAAATCCTTATATCATCAGCGCTATAACAGTAAATAGAAATATTTACTAGACTTCTACTAGCTGGGACTATGGTGAACTCATGTAGCATATTCTGTTGTAATGTCATGTCCAGTATGATCCTTATTATCTATGTTAGTAATATATCTTATCTATTTCAATGTTGACCCTGACTGTCCATTACGGTCAGTTTCGATTTTACCTGTATATAAAATAAAGTAGCTGAATACGAATTGTTGATTAAACACGGACGTATACATACAGAGCCTTGAGTTTTGGCTAGAGATAGGACTCAGTTAGATTCTAATAATTAGACTTTGAGTGTAGTTATCGTTGAGTTATCTCGGGGCTAGATTTCTTACACTCATTATCATATGTTGAGAATTAACAATCTAAAACTACTCAAATTTGTAAGCTTTTAAAAAATCCAAAAAAAAACTTTAAAGTTTAAAAATTATTCACTGCTTGCCTTAGCGCAAAAACCTTTTTCCTTATTTATGTTATTGTTATTTTAATATTTATGATGTAATTGAGACTAACTTATTAGCCCTACCTCCCTCCGCCCCCCCCCCCGGGTTAATTCCAAATAATAAGGGTTAAAATGCCGCCATAATGACCAATATGTCTAAGGTGGGGGAGGATCTAGTTCTAGATTGACCAATAGGAGGACAGTATAGGTACAGGTGTCGACCAACAGGAGCACAGAGTTTATTTAGGTTTAACATCAGTACTCTACTGTCCTTCTCTTTCATTAGAAGTTTCAGGATATTTTTATATTTTGTGTTCAACCATTTTTCGATAGAGAGAGCTCCGTTTTCTTTAGATTTTTATTTTTCATTTGTTCCATGCTTTATTCTTTTTTTTCCTTTATATTCTTCTGTGTTCCATTATTTATTCTTGTGTGTTCCATTATTTATTCTTGTGTGTTCGATCCATGCTTGTTTCGTTTTTGCTCCATGCTTTATTCTTAATTTGTTGTTTCATGATTTACTTCTTTTTGTTCCATGCTTTATTCTTATTTGTTCCATGCTTTATTCTTATTTGTTCCATTCTTTATTCTTATTTGTTCCATGCTTTATTCTTTTTTGTTCCATGCTTTTTTTTCATTTCTGTTCCATGAATTATTCTTTTCTTGTTTCATACTTTATTTTCTTTATTCTTTATTCATTTTTGTTCCAAGCTTTTTCTGTTCCATAAATAAGTTTTTTTGTTCCCATGCTTTATTATTTTAAATCCAAGCTTTATTCTTTATTTTTTCAATTTTAATCATTTTTATTGTAAGCTTTTTTCATTTCTGTTCCATGCATGGACCATGAATTCGTTTTTATTTTGTTTCATGTTTTTATTTGTTATCACGGCCACTGCGATTTAATGGTCTCACGCTCTCAAGCAAAAATCGTTGAGAATTTTGCCAATAACTTCTAAAAAACCACATCTAACAACAAGTGCTTTACAGTGCTAAAATGTACATGTAAAGGGCTACAGAAAAGCATAAGTGAGTTAGAGCGGTAAAATTTAAGCTTAGGGCGTTGCGACACTTCAAAGTCAGCCCTGTCTTAAAAATTGATGAGACTGTTTATAAGGAGGCTGAATCTATGTGCGGCTGTGTACTTTATTTATTTTCTATTTTTGTCCTTTTCTCTCCATTACTGTAATTAGTGTTAATTAGCATCTCAATCTAATTGAAATTAATGAGGTTATGTAATTGTATCTTATTCTGAAATATAAAACAAACCAGAAAAGGTAATTTTTTTTCTTCTTGCCCAGGTAGAACTGTGAGCTGGGTTAAAAAAGGAAAAAGCAAAAAAATTCAAAAGAAGTTTATTTGTCACACTAAACCATTTTTTGAAGAAACGTTATTTCATGAATTTGATTTTCTTTTTATGTCACTTTTTTTTAGAAAGAGGTTGTGAATCCGAAATGCCATTCTTTTAATGTGGGGTCACTTAAAATTTTGTTAATAGTCTCTTTATTGTTAAATATTTCCTCCAGTTATCATTTACATACACCCGGGAACAATTCTAAGGAATTGAGTTTGTGCAACAAACCCTCATATTCGAATTCTTAGACCTTTGCAACCCAATGTTGCAGACCTTTGATATTTCAAATTATGAATTCTGTTTGATTAAATAATGAAAGTAAGATTCTAAGGAATTGAGCCTTTGTCACAAACTTAAATTTTCTAATCCCTATTTCTTTGCTACCTGATGGTGCATATCTTTAATAGATTTAACAGATTTTATATGTTTGAAATATCCAAGACTATCAGAGTGCAAAGAATATCAGAGGATTAGAACATTAGAGTTTGTGGCAAAGACTTCATTCCCTTACAGTATTTTTTAACTTTAAAAAGATCTTGTCGTTTTTGTCTTTTCAATTTATAAATATTTCAGATAATATGGAGAGTAGAGGCAATGACATCGAAATACGGCCACGGTAAAGTTATTGAGTTTAAGTTTATTGTTTTATAAGTGCGGCAACAATTGTGATCAAGTCTAATCAAGTGTATTAAAGTCTAGACATGTTTTTTTTACTTATTTTTTATTGAGATATAATTCATTGTTGTTGTTTTTCATATCAAGAGGTTACAAAATAGTTTTTAATTTTTGCAGAGTCAATAATATTTTTTTTATCACTCAATAAATATTTACTTTTTGTAAAAAATGATAGGCAAACATTTTTTTTAAAACTTGAGCTGGAATTGTTATAGAGCGCTTAAAAATATTAACTTAAATCTTAAATGCTACTTTGATCACAACAATTTTTCTTTGTACATCGTTCATGCAGATTTTGAGGAATTTTATATCTTCAATTAACGGAATTCCAAAACATTTCAAAATTTAAATTATTTGTATAGCAAACTTTGTTTATGAATCTTTTCTAGACTTGTGAGACTCAGTTGTCACAAAAAAATGTAGGCCGACCCGTTAAGCCGTTGACGGTTTTCGGACACAAACACCAAAACGAACAACCAAAGAGACAATTTCACAATTTAGATATTTATAGTTGCCATAATTAGGGCTTTCCTGAAAACCTTCCAAGTTTTTTTTTAATTTGTTTTTTTACTCAGATCTTCAGCTAACCTCAGGGAGAGGGACAGAACTCAGAGTGTTAATTCAGCTTTTACATTACTCAGGTTAGATCATTTATTCATGCTTTCATCCTTTCAGTCATGCTTTCATTCATTCATTTTTGCAGTTGTTCACCCTTCATCCTTTCATATATTCATCCTTGCAGTTGTTCAGCTTTCATCCTTTCATTTATTTATCTTTTATCCTTTATGTTTTTACTTTTTTATCCAACTTAAGAAAGTTTGTTAATTTTTTTCGCAAATTTTCCTGAATTGGAAAATTTTCTGACCTATTCGGAATAAATAAATAAAAAGCTCCATTGTCCTGTTCATGGGCCATTTTTGAACTCTTCTGCAAGTTGTTAATTGAACGTAATTGCGCTTCTTTATAATGTACCGTGAAACCCTTAATAACGAATACATAGGAAGAATTTATAAAATGTCGTCTTGCCATTTTTAAATGAGTTTTATACTATATTTCGTAAATTTCAGTATTTGAGAAAATAAATAAATAGCCATGAATATGCGGGCACAGTTTTAAAGAGTTCCATATAATCAATTCATTAAAAAAACTAAATATCTGCAACATTCAATTATCAGAAAGTGAAGAATACGACATTTGACGAATTCTTTCGATGTATTCGTTATTAAGGGTTTCACTGTATAATACCTGTAAAAAAAAGTGTCTTAAAACAGGTGTTGAAAATTGAAAAATTTGCAAATTTCATAAAAGAAATTATTTACTTTAATGATAATAATCATAAACTAAATACATTAAAATCCAGTCAATATGAAGAGACAAAGTGAACTATTATTCTAAAATTGGATTTATTTGTGAACAATGTCTAATTGATTAAATTTACTTCAGACAATTGATTCCAACCCAGCCTCTGAACCGAAAGCTCTCTAAGATTGAGACATTAAAGTTGGCAACCTCGTATATTGAGCATCTTGCAGCTACACTACACGCCGGTCAGCATACTAAACCTGGCGGACTCTGCACTTTCTGCCTCAGGTACAGGGTGTCCCACATCATATTAGAACGTCAACGGGTCTAAATTGCGATTTTCGGGACTAATAAGAAAATTTAATTAGAATGAATCAATTTGAAAAAGAACATAAGGCTTATATAAGAATTTTCTTGCGGAAAATGATAAGTTTTTCGAGCATTAAGGGTTTATTTTGTCGTTAAAGATTAGAGATAATCTAATATAATATGGGACGCTCTGTAGGAACCAGAGAACTCTAGAGAGATTGTCGTCTTCTTTTCCCAGTTTAATCATGTTTCTTCATGGATTTATAATTTTGGAATTTTAGTAATAGAAATATTTGGCTGAAAAGGCATAATTTTTTGTAAGCACGTTGACCATTGATCGTTTTACTTTTATATCGTTTTTAAAACAAATTTAACTTGGTTTAAAGTTTGTTTTTATTGAACTTTGCAATATCTTTATCCAAAAAAATGTATCTTTTGGGGTCGTTTTATCTTTTGTCAGGGTCAACATGCCAATTTTTTATCCTGAAAGAAAATATATGCAACAAAACGACACAAAAACGACGCAACTGACGGAACATCAATATCATTTTAAGCATGAAAAAAATTAACGATTAAAAAAATACAATAAGGAAAATATCTCATAAAATATTTATCCATCCGGCCGGCCAAACCTTGGTTTGGGTGTCTGGACTCCAAATCTTTACTTTCATTTACATGATCTGATGTTTTGGATCTCCCTTTTTTATTTGTTATTTGAGTAATTGATTTGTTGATTGATTTAATAATTGATTGATTGATTAAAGGGAAGAGAAAGAGAGAAAGAATGTCGCTGATAAACCATCAGATCCAGATCAGATTCCTCACAATACCTTCAACAATTCATTTATCAAGATAGATCAATTAGCGCTCTCTGATCAATCAATTGATGCTGAGCAATCATTGAATAGTAATCAATCAATTCATTCCGAGAATATGTTAAATTCTGATCAATCAATTCTTATGAATCGATTACACGGATATCAGTTGAACTCAATCAATCGATTACACGGGGATCAATTGAATCAATTAGAAAGTGATCTAGGATCAGATGATCCAAGAGATGTTGTTTCACTTGAAAGAGATCAACTTGAGTTTGAGAGATGGAGCAAAAACGATCTTTACAGACTTCATCATGGGTTCAAGCTTTATCAAGAATATTCTTATTTATAAGAAAGTTGAATAAGTGGACAACGGGCGTACTCAGGAATTTGTCCAGAGTGCTTAAATTTTTTTTCCAGTACCCGCTGGTCCCTCAAAACGTCCTGGTAATCATAGATTTCACTAAATCACGGGGGCTAAGCCCCCATAGCCCCCCCCCCCGAGTACGCCTCTGAAGTGCACTTTTTTAGTACTGTTAAGTTATAATTCTAAAGATTTCAAAAATGATGATTTTTTTATTTTAGTTAATTAAACTCTTTGATAGTTTTATTCAAGTTTTAAATTCATTAAATTCTTCTCTTTTTCCGATGAAAACTTACAATTTTGTATTTCTTAAAACTTACTGATGACATTTATTGTAATTTATCACAAAATAAACATTAAAATATGTTCTATTTTTTATATTTAATGTTAACTTTTATTTTAAAAAAGGACATGCCAGATTCAACAGTACCCTTGAAAGCTTTGTCTAATCAAATATGAATTAGATATCCATATTTATAATTTTGAGAGCTGATTATCTTTAATTGTGGTTTCTCTTCAAAAGTAACTTTTGCATTTCTGCTGTTGAAAAGCAATGAAATAATTATTAGAATTAAACACTTAAAAACGAGAAAAACATTATTGATCAGATAAAGGTTTAAAGAGTCATTCCCCTCCTTTAAAATGGAGGATCACTTGAAATTTCAATTTTATTTCAATTTCAAAATTGCAATATATATAAATCAAGCGGTAAAATTATTCATATATCATATTTGTATACAATCTATAGATTTCACATTAACAAAACTTAGTTTTAAACGTCTGAAATATTTGAAACAAAAATTTAAAGGTGGATATAGTGTAAGAAATCGAAACAGTTGGTATTTCAAATTTGTCTCTAGGACAGACCCAAGCTATTTTTTTCGATAATCACCCGTAAAATTTTCATACGGTGATAACCATGTAAACTGTAGAATGAAAAGACGACATTAGAGCAATATTAAAGTGCATTTGATGTTGTTACAAAGCAAATAATTTAATTACTTATTAAGTGAAATGGGTCTGTTTACACTGCACAATTGCTGTGTCTCATATTCATTTAACTATTTAAAGCCATAACTTGAGTTTAAAAGTCGACTTCCTATTCCAGTGCATTCTAGAACGCCAAGTCCATTAGCGCCTGATTCAATCAATCAGGGTTCAGCCATGTGTTTTGTAGTCTATTCTGAACCAATAAAAAATGCATGGCGGTAACATCATTATCCAATTAGAAATAAATCCGTATATCGGCACTATAACAGTAAATGGAAATATTTACTTCTACTGAAACAATAGTGAGAGTTTTCTTTAATCACTGTAGAATCTACAGATGCAAAAATTTTCCCTTGTCAGTTAAAAAATATGATTTCAGTCCAACGTAAAATCCTTGGACATCGTGTAGAGTTGAAAGAAGTATGAAGTACGTCTGTAAATTAAATATTTATCATAAATATATATTTTTTTAATAGATTTCTAACAAAAGTTAAAGCTGTGAACAAGTTGAAAACTTTTCTACATGATTTGGTCGTTTTTAGTTAAAAAGAAGGTAAACTTGGAGTGAGTACTTAACTTACATGAAAGTACAACAAACTGTACAGGAGGAATTAGTAAAATATAGTTCGGTATATGGTTGCAAGGTACAGTACGGTCTGGTACAGTATAATGTTGTACAATACAGAACAGTAGGTACGGTAAAATATGGTCGGTTAAGTACGGTACAGTGTGGTCGGTTAAGTACGGTACAGCACAGTCCATTAAGTATGGTACAGTACAGTAGGTTAAGTACGGTACAGTACAGTCGGTTAGTACGGTACAGTACAGTTAGTTAGTGCGGTACAGTACAGTTGGTTAGAACGATACAGTACAGTCGGTTATTACGGTACAGTAGAGTCAGTTGGTACGGTACAGTACAGTTGGTTAGTACGGTACAGTACAGTCGGTTAAGTGTTGTATCTATACTGACGTATATCTACGGGATAGAGTATGTTGACTATGGTAAGGAGTGTTTTCAATCAATGATCTTTCTCTGAGCATCTTCTTGAAATGTTTTCGTTGATTTCTCCAACTGCAGTACACATGCAAGGACAACAACCTTGTAAACAAAATAATGTAAATAAACTGCAGTACACATGAAAGGACAACAACTTTGTAAACAAAATAATGTGAACTAACTGCAGTACACATGCAAGGACAACAACCTTGTAAACAAAATAATGTGAATAAACTGCAGAACACATGCCAGGAAAAACAACCTTGAGACAAAAAATGTAAAATAGCTGCAGTACACATGCAGAGACAACAACCTTGTAAAACAAAATAATGTGAATAAACAGCAGTACACATGCAAGGACAACAACCTTGTAAACAAAATAATGTAAATAAACAGCAGTACACATGCAAAGACACCAACCTTGTAAACAAAATAATGTAAATAAACTGCAGTACACCTGCAAGGACAACAACCTTGTAAACAAAATAATGTAAATAAACTGCAGTACACATGCAAGGATAACAACTTTGTTAACAAAATAATGTAAATAAACTGCAGTACACATGCAAGGACAACAACCTTATAAACAAAATAATGTAAATAAACAGCATGACACATCCAAGGACAACAACCTTTTAAACAAAATAATGTGAATAAACTGCAGTACACATGCAGGGACAACAACCTTGTAAACAAAATAATGTAAATAAACTGCAAGGACAACAACCTTGTAAACAAAATAATGTAAATAAACTGCAGTACACATGCAAGGACAACAACCTTATAAACAAAAAAATGTAAACTAACTGCAGTACACATACAGGGACAACAACTTTTTAAACAAAATAATTTAAACAAATTTGAATTGGAAGTTGAAATAGGAGTAGAAAAAAAATTGTAAAAATAAACATCTTTCATCCTTAAAATATAGCGTAACGTAACATGAAATTTATTCAAATACGTCCGTTCACTATCTTATGGACGATTTGGAATATTTTTAATTGAAATATTTTTCTAATGAAATATTTTGTGTACAAAACACCCAGTAGGCGGTGAACTGATTTCTGAAAACTCATAATCATCCACTAATCAAGAGATAAGAATGCTTAGAAGAAATAAGTTTGAGATTTAATAAATATATGATATAACAAAACAGTAATGTAAACAATAGTAAAGATTTGGGCAGGAGGGTTAGGTCTAGACAATCACGATAAAATAACAGTTATTTATATATGAACGTCATTATGTAAATTGAACTTAATCCACTAAAAACTATTTTTTTATATTTTCTCCATTTTGCTGTATCATGCTCCTATTCCAAAGTTACATTTGTTTTTTCTCAAATTTTCTCCAAATTTATTCACTTTTATGCAAATCAGATTTTACTTTCAATTTTTGAACAGATTGTTTTCCATGATAAAATCTTTTTGCAATAAAAGAATAATCTATTTGAGTGCTTTCAGCTGATAAAAACAAATTGAGAATATTTAAAAATTCAAAATAAAAACTGAATTTATCTTTAACGTGTTGTAAAATTTTAAATTCTTTTTCTAAATTGTAATGCATGATTATTATTGCTTCTATGATTATTATTTTTATTATTAAACCCATTATCATCATTATTATTATTATTGTTAAATATTATCAATATTATTGCTATTATTATCACTAATTGTCATTTTTACTTTTCTTGTTAACTTTAATACAGGGTGTCCCAAAAAACATGGGAATTCAGTGACGAATTCGATATCGTCTTTGTTATGAATTAGCATTGTAATACCTAATTTTAAAAGCCATTATATTATGTCTGTAGAGTTTGTTTTATGAAAAGGGTAAAAGACTGTAAAGATGTGTCTATAATGTCTGCGCAAGATAAACAGTGATTACGTACAAGTTTACTCTGTGTGTATACTGCAATTTTCTTGCTTTACGAAGTACAGCCGTATGCAGTCAAAACATTAACAAACAAAATGTGAACATAGCAGACGAAACTCGACTTACAGATTACAGCTTTCTCAGTAGGCATCACTATACTAAATCAAAGAATTATTTAAAAAGACGATATCGAATTCGTCACTGAATTCCCATGTTTATTGGGACACACTGTACCATAATTATTGAAAAATTATTATCATATTATCATTATTATCATTAATATAAATAATTATAGATATTACCAAGTAGGGTAGATGATAAACACAGTGAGTAGACCCAGCCCAACACAAATCCAAACTCCACTTTTACAAAAAAAAAATATAAAAAATAAAGAAACTAAATAATTCCGTCTAATTAAACTATTATTTTCTATTTCCAAATATCTCATCAATCTGATCTATCTGATCTATCAGGAAAAATAGTTTGAAATATGAAAAATCAACGACATTGTGTTGCAAAAATATAAAGGTTAGAAAAGTGAAATTTGTTGCAAATGTATAGTTTCTTTGTAACATTATTGAATAAGAAAAATAACTGTATAACATTTATTCTGTTACCTGTAACATTTACGTTATCTGCGTTTGTGTTTCCGATTAAATCAAAATATAAAAAATCTTACCAAAAGAAGATTAAATTTATAAATTTGAAAAAGGTGGGTTTTTTCAGGTTAATACCTTGGTTGTAGGTAGTAGGAGAGAAATACAGGTTAATACCTTGGTTGCAGATAGTAGAAGAGAAATACAGGTTAATACCTTGGTTGTAGGTATTAGAAGAGAAAGACAGGTTAATACCTTTGTTGTAGTTAGTAGAAGAGAAATACAGGTTAATACCTTGGTTGTAGATAGTAGGAGAGAAATACAGGTTAATACCTTGGTTCTAGATAGTAGGAGAGAAATACAGTAATACCTTGGTTGTAGGTAGTAGGAGAGAAATACAGGTTAATACCTTGGTTGTAGATAGTAGGAGAGAAATACAGGTTAATACCTTGGTTGTAGATAGAAGGAGAGAAATACAGGTTAATACCTTGGTTGTAAGATGTAGGAGAGAAATACAGGTTAATACCTTGGTTGTAGATAGTAGGAGAGAAATACAGGTTAATACCTTGGTCGTAAATGGAAGGAGAGAAATACAGGTTAATACCTTGGTTGTAAGATGTAGGAGAGAAATACAGGTTAATACATTGGTTGTAGGTAGTAGGAGAGAAATACAGGTTAATACCTTGGTTCTAGATAGTTGTAGGTAGTAGGAGAGAAATACAGGTTAATACCTTGGTTGTAGGTAGTAGGAGAGAAATACAGGTTAATACCTTGGTTGTAGATAGTAGGAAAGGAATACAGGTTAATACCTTGGTTGTAGATAGTAAGAGAGAAATACAGGTTAATACCTTGGTTGTAGATAGTAGGAGAGAAATACAGGTCAATACCTTGGTTGTAGGTAGTAGGAGAGAAATACAGATTAATACCTTGGTTGTAGATAGTAGAAGAGAAATACAGGTAAATACCTTGGTTTTAGATAGTAGGAGAGAAATACAGGTTCATACCTTGGTTGTAGGTAGTAGGAGAGAAATACAGGTTAATACCTTGGTTGTAGATAGTAGGAGAGAAATACCTTGGTTGTAGATAGTAGGAGAGAAATACCTTGGTTGTAGATAGTAGGAGAGAAAAACCTTAGTTGTAGATAGTAGGAGAGAAATACCTTGGTTGTAGATAGTAGGAGAGAAATACCTTGGTTGTAGATAGTAGGAGAGAAATACCTTGGTTGTAGATAGTAGGAGAGAAATACCTTGGTTGTAGATAGTAGGAGAGAAATACCTTGGTTGTAGGTAGTAGGAGAGAAATACAATACCTTGGTTGTAGATAGTAGGAGAGAAATACAGTGCTCAGAAGATTCCCTTAATTAAGTCTTTGCCACAAACTCTGATTTTCTAACCCCTATATCTTTTCAACCCAATGTCATGGACCATAGATATTTGAAACTATGAATTCCTTCAGTTTGAAATATCAAAGTTTAAAAAGTAAAGATAGGGATTAGAAAATTTGAGTTTGTGCAAAGAAAATTAATCAAAGCAAAGCAAGTACTTAGTGATTTGGCAAAGAAAGTAACAAATTTCAGTCGTCTTTAAAGGGAGTGTTCGCGAAAAATGAAAAAGGGTATAGGCTTAATGCGATAAAAAGGCGCTTTTGATCGCTACTAATCTTACTTCTATCTGCTGCGTCTATAAGGAGAAAAGTGTTAAAACCGACTTATACCGAAGAACGTAGTGTCCATACAAATTCAGAAAGATGCAACATTCAACTCGGATCGTAAAAAAATCAATTTAATTCCAAACAAATCATTCAAATAATACAAACAATAGTCATCGATTATTTTTCGACGCATTCGTAAATAGTTAACGTTTCATAATATTTTGTATTTTTCATGATCTGAGAGTTACTTTTGAAAACATTTATTCCTGTTTCGAGGATTTTTGATAATTAGCCTTATAGGGCGCTTCGCGCCCATCTTCTAAATTAATTGTGAACATGTTCTCTTTGTGTACATCGTAAAACAAAACAAAAATAATTCGCGGATTTTCACAAAAGATTTCGTGGTTTTTTTTTAAATTTTCAAAAATAGATATACGAATGCGAACATTCCCTTTAAAGTCACATCTTTCATGCGCATCATTCATTTTTGCTCATTTTTCTAGAGGACTTAATTAAATTGAGAAACATTGTCAAGTAAAATTCTAGAACTTGGTTTCAAAAATCAAATTAATTAAAAATTAATTATTTGGATTCAAGGTTTTGGCTTAATCATGTTTTGAACTATTCTTCTTTGAATTATTATATCAATGAGAAATTAAATTCTAAAATCGAGAATCAAAAGATTTGACTGGCTTTTGAAATAAGTTTAGAAAAATTAAAATTAATTTTATTATTTTAAAAATGTCATTAACATAAAGCATATAAGAAATGTAAAATTGTAATGTAGAATTTTTTACATTTTGACAATTTCTTAAAACTCACCAATTAAAATAGTCCCCCAAATAAGCAACCAAGGTAGCATTAGAAACCTAAATTTGTTTTTGATTTGATCGTTATGAGGCCGAATTTAAAGAATTTGAGTTGCGGCTTAAATTTAAGTCGCGGCTCAAATATGATTGGTTCCACTTAAAATGGTATTCAAAATTTCAAGATTTAAGCCGGCGCTCAATTGAAACCGGTTTTTGGCGGATTTAATACGCGGCTCAAATTCATTAAATTGGGACTCTGATAACTCTTGACACATTTCGTATTTCAACGATCTTCAAAGCTGACTAGTAACTTCAAATACATGTTTATAGCCAAACTTTTCCAGGCCAGCTCATCCGCAAAATAAATATTACTTTGTCTTTAAATGTTGTGGTGTAAAGAGAAGTTAAAAAAATATAAAAAAATAAATCGGAAAAATGTAAAATTAACGTAAAAATGTTGACAAATAATCGCATTCATCATATATATTGCTTACACAGTCTTATAAAAGTACAACCATTTTTTAAAGACATTGGAAAAGTAAATTTTAGATCTAAAGTTTTTTTTATTAATTTTAAATTGTTTACCATCGTTTAGTAAACACTCCAACAATATGGAATATAGTGGTTGGAATTATATATATATTCAGTTAAAGGGATAGTTCACTAAAAAGTGTTGACCTAAGTTGTCTCATTTCTCTGAATAACTCTGGTTTGAAAAGCATTGGATAAACCGCCTGTTGGACACTCTTCTCGTCAGATTGATGGTAGAAAACTTAAAAATAACTCTTTTAAAGGGACTGTACGCGTAATTTCAAGTGACCTTCAATGCAAAGATGGCAATGTCTTATTCACAACGGTATCCTCGGAACATTTATTTAATCAATAATGTTGAAGATATTGTCGGTTTTCTCGCTTGAAAATTATAAAAATTGATAAACAATTCATACATGATCAAACAAAGCTTTTAAGGGTAGCCTAGTGAATCGGTCATTGCTATTTTTGCATGACGGGTCACTTGAAATTACGCTTACAGTCCTTTTAAATCTTTTTTATGATAACAACATTTTTATGATAAAAGCAATACATATCCCTGACCTGCTGTAAATAACAGGAAAACAATCTCCAACGTGAAAAATATGGCCAACAAAACTGTTGAAATATTCATGGTCTAACAAAATTAAAATTAAATTACAGATGTTTTTTGACAAAAAAACATTATGGTATTTACACAATTTATGTTTTCTCACTCTAATTGAAACATAACGAAATTCGTGCGAAATTACTTTTACAACTTTGTGACCTCGTAGCAAGTCTAGTTTTGATTTTATGCCCAAGCATGAATCAATACTTTGGTTATCAGATTAGAAATTAAATTTTTTTTCTTTTCAGGAACTTTTCCGAATTTGGAGACATGATTGAAAAAATGCAAAATAGTTTTAATAAAAATGTATGAATACAATGACATATTTTGTGTCATCAAATGATGATGGGGGGGGGGGACATTTTGGTATTTTTAAAGGGACAGACCGACTATGTAAGGTAGTTGACCTGAGTATGTAGTGTTGTGGACAAAATCTTTAGGATTCATTTGAGACATATCAAACTTTTTAAAGATCTGTAAATCCTGAAATTAAATGAATCCTAAAGAATTTGTCTACAACACTGCATACTCAGTTTAACTACATTACATAGCCGGTCTGTCCCTTTAAATATTATCTAATAAACCAGAGATTCCTAGTGTTGAGGATTTTCCGGAACTTGTTCTTCCTTCAAGGGACATACTTCCTGGAAATATCCTTTAATTTGTTCTAGATACTATTTTCTCTTCAGATATATTCAGATATACTTTTAGAACTTTTTTCTCTTCAGATATATTCAGATATATTTTTAGAACTATTTTCTCTACAGATATATTCAGATATATTTTTAGAACTATTTTCTCTTAAGATATATTCCGGTTTTATATACTTTACTACCACTTCCTATATCCAGTGCTATCTTGTTCTGTCCTTTCCTATCTTGTGTTATCTTGTACTGTCCTCTCTTATCCTGTGTTATCTAGTACTGTCCTTTCCTATCTTGTGTTATCTTGTACTGTCCTTTTTTTATCTTGTGTTATCTAGTACTGTCCTTTCCTATCTTGTGTTATCTTGTACTGTCCTTTCCTATCCTGTGTTATCTATTACTGTCCTTTCCTATCCTGTGTTATCTAGTACTGTCCTTTCCTATCTTGTGTTATCTTGTACTGTCCTTTCCTATCCTGTGTTATCTAGTACTGTCCTTTCCTATCTTGTGTTATCTTGAACTATCCTTTCCTATCTTGTGTTATCTTGTACTGTCCTCTCCTATCTTGTGTTATCTTGCACTGTCCTTTCCTATCTTGTGTTATCTTGTACTGTCCTTTTCTATCTTGTGTTATCTTGTATTGTCCTTTCCTATCTTGTGTTATCTTGTATTGTTCTTTCCTATCTTGTGTTATCTTGTACTGTCCTTTCCTATCTTGTGTTATCTTGTACTGTCCTTTCCTATCTTGTGTTATCTTGCACTGTCCTTTTCTATCTTATGTTATCTTGTACTGTCCTTTCATATCTTGTCTTATCTTGTACTGTCCTTTCCTATCTTGTGTTATCTTGTACTGTCCTTTCCTAATCTTGTACTGTCCTTTCGTATCTTGTGTTATCTTGTACTGTCCTTTCCTATCTTGTGTTATCTTGTACTGTCCTTTCCTATCTTGTGTTATCTTTTATTGTCCTTTCCTATCTTGTGTTATCTTGTACTGTCCTTTCCTATCTTGTATTATCCTGAATTGTGATTAGCTTGAATACGCTTATATATATCTGCACAACTCTTGTAAATACGTACATTGACTAAACCTGTAACACAAATATCTAAATACACGTTAGTTCTTTTTGGTAATTCTTTTTGGTTAGCGAAGGAGAAGCATCCTGAATCACTCTCTTGAAATATAGAACTAGATTGGGAATAACGTTGAGAATACAGACTGAGTCGTATCTGGACTGATTGATATTGACTATTCGTGTAAACCTTGAATTCCCGATTGAGTTGTATCTGGATTGAAACAGATCTTAAAGTAGTTTTAGGAGTAGGGCATTTACTGCATTTTATCTTATCCTGTCCGTTCCTATGCTGTGTTATCTTATCTTGTCCTTTCCTATCCTGTGTTATTTCATCATGTCCTTTCCTATCTTATGTTATCTTATCCTGTCCTTGCCTTTCCTGTGTTATCCTGTCTTTTCCTATCCTGTGTTATCTTATCCTGTCCTTTCCTGTGCTGTCCTTTCCTATCTATTCAATCTTTTCCTGTCCTTTTTATATCCTGTGTTATCCTGTCGTTTCCTATTATGTGTTATCCTGTTCTTTCCTATCCTGTATTATCCTCTTCTTTCCTATTCTGTGTTATCCTGTCCTTTCCTATCTTGTGTTATCCTGTTGTTTCCTATTATGTGTTATCCTGTCCTTTCCTATCCTGTATTATTCTCTTCTTTCCTATTCTGTGTTATCCTGTCCTTTCCTATCTTGTGTTATCCTGTCGTTTCCTATTATGTGTTATCCTGTCCTTTCCTATCCTGTGATATCCTGTCCTTTCCTATCCTGATCCTGTATTATCCTCTTCTTTCCTATTCTGCGTTATCCTGTCCTTTCCTATCTTATCCTGTGTTATCTTGTCCTGTCCTGTCCTGTGTGATTTTGTCCTGTCCGGTCCTGTGTCCTGTCCTATGTGTTTTCGTCTTTAACTCAACAGTCTTCAGACTTATAGATTTGTTTATCTTATACTTTTCCATTCATATGTATATGCCAACAAAAAAGTATTTAGGATAAAAGGCAAAAAAAATATGTAAAATGGGTCAAATTGTGATTGAAAGTCACAGTTTTCTGAAATATTGACAGAACCGTTAAATCCACGTGATGCCGTGTCGTGTCCTGTATTTTTAGTCCTATACTGTCATATCCTGTATTTTCTTTTTTCTTAGAAATTTTTTGGACTATTATCCAACCTCAAAAAATATTCACAAATAGTATAGTTCAACATTTTTATTAAATATTTGCTTTTTTAGATTTGTGTTTCCTGTAAGTTTTAGGATGTATGACACTGAACTGTAATAATCCGGGACTAAAATAAACAGAAAATATTTTCATTATAAACATATCACATGTGGTTTCCCGGTGGACCGGCGGGGGGGGGGGGGTAGTATCAGGATTCTAGAATCTAATATTTTTTTTCTAATCAAGAGTAAAAGTTTTTTGAAAACCGTAATTTCGACATTTTTTATTTCTAATAGTTTTGTTACATAAAAAAAATTAAGCAAAGCACAAAACTTATGTAATTTTTTACTCCAAAGTTATTTTTTGGAACCCTCTGAAAATTGTAATAGCGTAATATTGGCACTATGGAATATTTTTCAGACATGTTTAAGATGTTTTCCTATCTCAGACATTTCAAAGACATGATCTAGATATTTTAAACATTCTCTGGAGTTTTCTAAAATCAATTCATAAAAGTCAATTTACAAATTTGAGAAAAATAAACAATAAATAATAAACAAACAAAATTTCTTTTTCCTCCCAAACCAGTGTCTTGAAATATTATTTTATCTAAAACCGATTGAATTTTCAAAGATTGATTGGATTTTCCTAAAATAGATTTTTATTTATTTTCCATCTTTCTACCCGACTGAATTCAGGTTTATTAAATGACAATTTTATCAAACCTGTGATTTATAATTTTTTGTGGATATTTTTAATCTTGAAAGCTTGATCTTGATATCCAATGTTGGCACTTATAAATTTGAGGATCAATGCTTGATTTTTCGATTATAAAGTTAACCCTAAAATATGCATAAGATAGGAGTCAAAGCTTGATCCTGAGATGCACTACACACAAGTTCTGACTTATGAGATGAAATCTTTAAAATTGGATACTTTTAGTCCCGATTGTTTAATCTTAATATCCAAGTGAACATTTTTAATTTCCCTCTTAATCCCCTCTTTGCTTTCTTTTCTCTTCCTGCCAGTTTCCGATCAATGAGGACTCACTACTTAAATGGCGCGCAAGATTTTAAATTTCCCGGCTTCTCTGATTGGTTGTTCTAGTTTCTCCAAACCCCACTCGATTGATAGAGTTACAAACATTGTTGTTGATACAAACTTCAGATTAAATTAATCTTGAAATTAACTGAAGGAGAAGATCAACCATTGATCCCGATATCCACAACTCTTAAGTTTCAACTCTGTGTTCATAAAAAAGCAATAGGGAAAAAAACTACTTTACATAAATTACCAACAAGTATGACCCACTAATTATAATTATTTATTGATAAAGATTCAAAATTTAGATTTAAAGGGACTGTAAAGGAAAAATTAAAGGGGCATAGGCTGAAAGCTAATCACTCTCGATCGCGACCCATGAAAGTCATATCTGATGTTCCTATCTCGAGAAACTGATTTACAACTTTGTCAAATTTATACGAAAATTAATATATATACAATTTTGTATAAAAGAAGTGGATTTAGATAGATCAAATTCAGCAAGTAAGCAAACAATCTGAAAACGATGATATCCCAGAGAAAGCTAATTGTAACTTACGTTTACTCCAATTCTAATTTTGTATTTGT